CTCAGCTGCTCCTCATAAGACTTGTGCTCCAGGCCCCTCACCAGCTTGGTTGCCCTTCTCTGGACACGCTCCAGCACCTCTGTGTCTTTCCTGCAGTGAGGGGCCCAAAACTGAACACAGGACTCAAGGTGCGGCCTCACCAGTGCCCAGTACAGGGTACGATCACCTCCGTGCTCCTGCTGGCCACACTATTTCTGATACAGGCCAGGATGCCGTTGGCCTTCTTGGCCACCTGGGCACACTGCCGGCTCATATTCAGCCGGCTGTCGACCAGCACCCCCAGGTCTTTCTCTGCCGGGCAGCTTTCCAGCCCCTCTTCCCCAAGCCTGTAGCGCTGCGTGGGGTTGTTGTGACCCAAGTGCAGGACCCGGCACTTGGCTGTGTTGAACCTCATACGATTTGTCTCAGCCCATCGATCCAGCCTGTCCAGATCCCTCTATAGAGCCTCCCTACCCTCGAGCAGATCGACCCTGCCTCCCAACTTGGTGTGGTCTGCAAGGATAGTGCTCCAGAATACACCGCAGTCCAACTGGCCGCAGAGGCGACCTCACTCCTCCTGGTCACCTGCAGTCCCTGACAGACCCAGAGGAACCAGCAATCCATGGGCCTCAGTCTTCGGGTTGAAGTTAACCCCCGGAAACCTTTTGCTCCCTGGTGGGTCCCAGTGAAGAGGTTTCCTACGCCAGCCTTTGCTCCTGCCCACACGGCTGGCCGCTCTGCTTGTAGTGTACTCGGGCAGGGTGGACTCCTCTTGAAAGTGAGCTCCTCAGAGCGTATTTGAGATGCTGCACAGGCAATGCCAGAGGAAAGAGAAACGACAGAGTAGATGCAAGTTCTGCCTTACTCACAGAACTATCATGTCCTAATGTAAGTCAAAACCCCCTACGTTTTAATATATGTAGTCTATTAGAATGTAAGATTTTTGTAGCTATGTTTACCCTCTTTTTCTTTTTCCATTTGTTCCTATATCAGGTGACATCTTATGTGTAATTTTCTACATTGTCCACAAATCTGAACACCCAGATCTCACATTACTGCAATGTGAAATAAACTATTGCTGGCAAGTGATGATTCTCACTGAGCTGTGAAGGATACGGACCATATTCACTTAGTTCTCTGCAAACTTCCAGTTCGATTTCACTGAGCTGACACCTCTCTCTAAAGGCTCATATTTTCTTTTTGCCTTTTTTTTTTCTTTTTCTGACACAGTAATTTGAGGCAAGTCAGGATATCTATTTTTAAGAGCCAGGAACCTGTGACATCCAGTCCCCGAGGGGGAAATATTATTTAAATAATTCCATGTAGTCTCCTATGTCCGCTAAAAGAAAGAATAAATATAATTAGAAAAATGTAACTAATACCTTTCTCTGAATCCCCAGTGTACATCTTTTTAGCCATCTGTTCTCTCTCCTCCAGGCCCCAATCCCACATGTGCTAAACAGTAATCACAGAACCGATCAGCAAACCTGAAGTTAAGGGTATGTTATACCTCCTAGTACAGGTGGATCTCCTACATCCTAGTTTTCCAGCTCTTAAACTGTACCTTCTGTAGAGAAGGTGCCTTATTGACTAAAAAGTGCACCGTTACCAGCTTACCACTTTCAGCATTTTTTGTTCTTTCAGTACTCCCAGCAGTGAGAGAAGTACTGTTATCCTTCTTTGCACGCAGAGGAATGAGAAACAGAGTTAAATGACTTGCTCTGGGCCATACAGGGACTCTGTGACAAACTAGGATGTGAACTGTTAAATAATACTGCAGAGGAATATGCTTCCCTCTGAAGCTTAACTCCCAGTTTAAACTGACATATTCTACAACCAGGCATCAAGTTACAGCACCGATGCTTGGTAAATGATAGATTGAAAGTCAGTCTCGAAGTACCACAGCAGCACATTCTCCTTGAGCATTCCGTGTTAATAAATTGTGAATCACGTATATCCCATTAATAACCTGTTGTGAAAAACAAAACTTTTCCTTGTTAGATCAGGCAGTGCTATTACAAAAATGGTATATTGTGCTTCTCATTTTATTTTGCAGATAAACAAGACTACTTTAATTACCATGATCTGACATGCCATCTCCAGAACAGAAGGTACAGTACTGAAAGGTGTAATACATTTGCAGTACAGGGAAGGTTTATTTTAGGCATTAAATGAAATGGCATTAACATAGAGTATGAAAAATACTGCCCTATTCTTAATAGAATCTTTCTTGAAGGAACAATTGTAAAAATGGATTTCAGATTTTACTGCTTAAGTCAAAATATTAAATGATGTAATAAACTATATTTTTGGAAAATATGAAGCTTTTGCTACAAACAAGAAATAACTTTTATTATTCAGGGTGCCTTGGGTGTGTTTTAATTTCTTAGATTTTGTAATGCAAAGTTAATCCTTGCTAGACGTTGAATAAGTAGGAAATTAGCAGAGTCAAGGAGCCCTGGAAGTCAAATCTTTTCACAAAGACCACTTTTCATTTTATGATTGATGAGGGCAAAATAGCCATCGTGATCAATATGACAAGCAAACGGTAGGACAGAGTGGCAAATAAATAGGTGGAAAAGTATTTGAGGGGTGTGAATGTTTTAAGAAAGGAGATTAGAGAGATGGCACCAAAAGCCAAGGAGGGCATGATATAAAGGCCATATTCAGGCAAGAAGAAATCAGAGCAGTAGAAAAATTACCATTTTTGATACCTCAGTCAGGCAGCACAGAACAGCTGTTGCGCCTAACAGAACAAACAATTCTTGCACCTGCAGAAAGAAAAGGAATGGTAGCAACATAGCATCTTCCTGATGAAAAGAAGTATGTGTGGAAGTCCTTGAGCATATAAATTGAGATCCCTGTTAAGGTCACAGCCCAGCAACCATGGGAACAAAACAGATCTAGTGACACCAAACACCTTGTCTGAGTTACTGCCGTATACCTAACACACAACATATTTTCTCCCATATGCTTCAGCAGGAATATTTGCTTGAAAAGGTTTGTGTAAGCTGCAGCAGAGATATGGGAGCTGAAGAGAGCATCCCCCCATGCTGTGATGCTCAGCGCCGAAGCAGCCAGCAGCCTGGCCGCAGCTCCCAGGGGTTCTTGGGCCACATGGTGAGGACCAAAAATTTGGGATGTATGGATCCTGCCGTGAGGTCGAGAGGCAGCCACTATCACTGCAGAAGAGTGCTTGTGTTCAAACTGCAGGCATCTTTCTTCCTAAGTTTATGTAGTACACTCAGTGATTAAATAAAGCAAAGAGAGAATTATGCCACATGAATGACCATCTGACAGCTTTCCAGGTACAACATAAACAGTCCTGAGTGGTTATCAGAGAAATACCTGAACAGACTAACTTTATCAGCACACACAGGACTTTGCTACCTACAGAGAGCTCGCAGAGCACATGCTTAAGATACACAATCATGAACACAAGGTGAAACATCAAAAATAGCACTTCAAGGAAAGAGTACTACATTTCCCAGGACAGGCATCTGGATATTGTGGAAAATGAAATTTTGAATGAAACTGCAGCAGAAAAAAATCAAATAAAGCCTAGGTTTTACAGACAGAGAAATATACCATGTATCACAATGTATTTTTACAGGACAGGCTTCAATAGTTCCCAAGAACCAGGTCACAACCTCCATGTTGGCTGACTGAAGCTACTGCATTACTATCATCACAGATCACTTGAGCACCAAATGGATTTTAATACATTATAATGTTGGAATTAACTAGTGTTTTCTGATAAGGAGCAAGTCATCTTCTATTATCAGGCATCAAATCATTTTAGTATTTTGCTGGTATGTTCTCCTCTGGTACAATCTGCCAAAGAAAATAGTTCGCCTGCTTGTAGAATGGAAAGAAAATGTGCCTGAATAAGATGCAGATAAAAATGGATACAGAAATTAGCCCTGAAGTACTGTAGATTTCCCAAGGCCTTGTTAAGAACTCAGAGACAGTTATATTTGGCTGTAAGAGCTCAAACCCAATTTTCTTCTCAGAAAATGAGAGACCTTAAATGATGGCAAAGATATTTAAAGGAAGATCAAATTTTATTTATTTGTGATGCACACTACTGTCATCGGTGGAAGAACAGGCATGGTAGATAGTGAAAGATATATCTGTAGTATCATGTGAATCTGGAACTCAGATATGAAGTATGGACCAAATCTTTCATTTTAGCAACTGAGTTATGACTGTAGAGGCGTGCCTATATCACAGGGATTGAAGGATTTGGGGGTTTTGGGGGGGGTTACAAATTTTGCTTGCATATATATATATGGAGACTTATGGTACACACTCAAGCACATGACTTGGTGCACTTGAAGCGGTTTTCTTTTGAAACAAAGGCTGTTGCCATTCAGTAGGACACTAGCCAGGGAGCACTGTTTTAATGTGGATGCAAGGTCTTCCACTACACAGTTCTCTACAGTTTTATGGCACATGCAATGTTAGCTTGTTGGCAATCTGTTTATTATTTCATATCTGTGTTGCTTGTTGACAGAGATGCTGTTGCAGGGCTCTTTAACTATCTTTGAGCTACCAACTTATAGTCACAGGTGGACCTCTCCACTGTTATCTATTTTCAATTTCTCGGTGCTATGTCCTACTGATGGTGGATAACACTTAGCAAAAAGGACAGGAAAGTGTGCATTTAGTAGCTGTAATTGACAGAAACTACAGGTAAATTCCTTGCTGTGCAAGAAAAAAGCTGAATCTGAAGATCTAGAAAATGATCTCATCTAGAAAATACCTACAGCCTACCCATTTGTAAATGAGGACAGCAACATGTGCTTCATACTGATTCTTGTATTACAAAGACAGAAGAGGTGTGTCTTGCCCTCCTTCTCTTGGCACATTTTCTTGACTGAAATTCTCTTCTACTGCAATGATGTATTTGAAGACAGGTCCTCCTACATAATGAACCTTCCGAAGGCTAGTACCGCAGTGGTGCAAGTCAGCTACCCACACTCTCTTGTTCCAGTTTCTGAAAGAGAATTACAGCCTGTTTATCCTGAATGCACCTCTTGCAGTCTCCCTTCTGAGTCATAGTCACAGTAGCAAGACTGCCAGAGAGAGGAGCAGCACACTTGGAGCCACGGCTTCCAGAGAAGGTTGTCCCATGACAGCTGGTCAGGGACAGGGTGCAGGGATCTGGTGTGGTTGTCTACTGCTAGGTGTATGACCCTGAGGATTTCGTAGAAACGGCTCTCCGTTTCTGGAGTCAGTGGGACTTTCTCTTCAGGGTCTCTGGAAAGATCGAAGAGCAGTGGGGGATCATGCTGTGTGATGAATCCTCCATGGCAGAAGCAAACATGAGAATCGTAGCAACCATTGGAGTCTTCAGGACTGAAGTTTGGAGTGAAGAAGACGACTTTCCAGACAGATTCACCTGCAATTTACAGACACAAAACAGCTGGTGATAAAAAGACAAATTAAAAGTCCCCTAGTCTTATGAAACTCTAATTTACACCAAGGGAAATCAGTCTTTTGGTACAACCTCGCTCTGTACAGGAACCGCAATATACTGAAAGAGTAAAACAAAATTGAGCAAAACAAAAATAAGCAAAACATGACGATTTTCATGCTATGCATATTTATGAAATAATTATGATCACTTCATTCCCTTGGAAGAATTCTGATTAACTAAATCATAGAAGACTTAAAAGAACTTCGCATTTTTACATAAACAGTGCTAAGAAGATTTGCATAAATATTTACTAAGCCATTGCACTGTCTTCTGCAAGACTTATTAAAATGTACCTTTGCCCTTTGGCCGTATGCAGACACTGTTGGGCCATGTCTGCTTCTCATTTTGCTAATCAAAATAATTTCATTTTTACCTTTTTCCCTCTTCCTTCTTTTGTTGTATTAACCCATTGCCCTCTGCCACATGTTTTCATTGCAAACACCTGGAGACAGTTTCACGTTTTAGTAAATGTGATGACATGAAAAGGTATAATGGATACTAAATTCCTTTCTTAGGCCTCTAGATGTTTTTTCCAAAAATAAATAACTGGTAACAGTAGTGCAATTTTTAGGTGACATTCTGCTTTGTAAAATAGGAGCCAAAGGTCTTCATTTATAGGTTAGTCATTCTCTCTCAGCTTAATTTGCTGTGTACAGAAACTGAACTTTCTGCACTAGTGTAACTTCAGTCAGTATTTTCACTGTTTGAAAATACTAATTGTTTCCTGGATTAAGAATAAGCAGGTATCTGTTCCTGCAAGAAGCACTCTTGAACAGAAGGCACACTGGAGAATCTGAAAATACTTAACAAGAAAGGAATAAACAAAAAATGGCTGCTTTTTTCCTCAAATATCACGGAAGAGACAGGGAAGTCAGGAACAGATAGGCACTTCCATGGAAGCACACTGTCCTCCCGCAGGGAAGCATACAGTTCTCCATAAAGGGACCAGAGAATAATTAATTAGAGACAAAAATCTGTACTTTATTCTTAATAAAAGTAGGGTACTAAAGAGCTGAGGTCTATGATCTCAGACTACCTACCCACTTGAGTGTATACAGACATCAGAAATACATATTCATCAGTAATTTAAATTCCTCAGCATACTATCGTGAAAAACATTTTTTGTATCACCTCATTTTTTTTAAATACTGGGGGAAAAACTCTTTTTGGTATTTTGTTGAATTTTGTTAAGTTCACAGAAAACTTGTTAATCTAGTAACAGATTGTCACAGATTTCTGTGCACCACAGTGGTTAATATTCATTAACCAATTCATCAGTTCAACAGAATGGAAAGCACCAGAAAATGTGGGAAGGGCAGCGATGAACTGGTACATGCCATGCTGTAACTACATCACACTCAATTTTAGAGATAAAAACAGGTTTAAAGAAAGAAATGTTTCAGCAGACTAAAGAGTCACAGGCTGTAGTTCTAGTCTATAGCATGAATTTAAAGGACAGTGGGTGACCTTAAGGTTCTTTACAGCTTCTTCTATCCCACAGCATTTTTCACATTATAAGAGATTTTACCTTTAGGATCCAATTCAATGACAGAGCCTGGAGACTTCCAGTTCGCTTAGTCTGCACTTAAATCAGGGTCGGAGGGGTGATGGCTATTATACACATTAGACTAGGAGAACCCTCTGAATGCTGCTTGGAAGTCAGCAAAGGGGAAGGAGCTTTAAAGGCTGAGAGTGACTTGCTGGCACAGACAATAGGACGTGGCAGGCTTTAAAGGCTCTGGCTGTGACAGCAGCAATGGCACAGTCTTCCTGGGGAAAAGGGAAGGCAAGGCAAGGCACCACAGCATTCCTTCATACACCTTCCCAATAACATTTTGAAAGGTTGGTTTGATATTTGAATTCTTTGCTGTTTTCTCAGAAGTAAAATAAACAAACAAAATCTAACAGTCCCCCTTAAATTTCTTTGAACTTATGCATGGAACATTTCCCAGAGCAGAAATATGCCTCTCATTTACTGAGATTTACAATTTACATTCTGGGAAGGTATGTAATTCTACACTAAGCATTCCTTCAGGCTCTTTAAAAGTGTTTAATTGGCAAGATGGTCAATGAAGAACAGAAAAAGCCAAAGGGCTTTATTAATCAGTGCACTGTGTGCCTTTGTAGACCATGCAACATTTGCCCCACCTGACAATTTGATTCAGGGCACTATAACACCTTGATAGAAGAAGAGCAGAAAAAAATATATATAGCTATTAAAATGTCAACTAAAAGAAATTCCAGTAAGGCCATGCACATGAGAACTTTGTGGTCAGGCTGTCTTACCACACATCTATCTTTGATGGTACTCTTGTGCCAAATGACATCATTGAAAAGAAATTTTCAGCCAACTTTTTTTGGTGTTTGGCACTGTAACACCAGGCCAGTTCAAGGGCTTACAGATAGCAATATAAGGTTGGGGATGCTGAATTAATGCAAGTCAGTACAAGCAGCTCATGTAGGTAAGACATGGGGAAAAGAGAGAAATAAGGAAGTGGTACCGTGATTTTTTTTTTTCCCTACAGAACAAAGAATTCTTCAGGTTTGGCTATATACAGAGCATACGGCCTGTTGCAAAATCATGTGTGGGGTTGGGGACAGGGCATGTGTGACATCACATCATGTCTGAATCACATCGCTAGTGTTTTGAAGAGCTGATGCTAGTTTATCAGCTACACAGCTATATAATGTCATGATCATACTGCACAAACCACTGAGGTCTGGGAGAGCAAAGTCTGTTACTGTGCAATGTTCATCTGTTGCACTGCAGTGATGCTTCGGCGAGGATCTGGAACTTCATGTGGTGCTGGAGGAACAGCAGTGCAGACTTTAACCACTGATTTCCTAAGCATTATAAAAACTAAAGCATATCTGTCAGTGTCTGGCTGTGGAGCAGCCGGTGTAATATACTAGGAGACATAAAGGGCTGTCAGACTTCTAATCTGTAAAGCTGATGAACTGTATAAGGCTCGATATTAAAAAGAGAGAGCTCTCTCCCAGACTCTCTCAGCTGATATAAAATCTCATTTTGTCAGAGGGTTAACTACAAGGATCAAATTAATCTCTCAGTAATTAACAATACCTTTGTTCTGCAAAGCATCTGGATAGTAAACTCTCTTTATATAAAAAGATAACTATATGTCTCTTCCTCAGTGAAGTCAGTAGTAAAATTGTCGGGGCTCCCCCACAGTCAAGTATATCAGGTCTCTTCTAAAACAGCAGGCAAGCTCTAAGCCTGCAGAACCCTTGAAGATCCTGTCCCAAGGCTTCACAGCTACTTTATTTAGCGTCCATTTTTCCTGCAATTCTCCAGCTCTCTGAATTGTCCAACAATTTCACCTATTCAGCTCTCAGAATATGTCTTTCCTTCTCATGTTAAGAAAAACAAAACCTACAGAAGTTGCACATATAAATAGTCTCAAAATAAAATAAGTTGCAATTAGTTTGAGCAAATCTGCTATGAACAACTGCTCAGAGTTCGATCTCCCTAACAGACTCCTCTTTTATTATCCTTCACCCATCTCTTTCTCCTCTCATACAGACAACTGTAGCTCCAACAGACTGGTAGTAGCCATGAGATTACGTAAAAGTATCTCAGTAAGATACATGAATATTTCCAAGATGAAGTGACACACTGGATAGGGATGTCATTTCTGTTAAAATAGCACTGTTCTTAAACAGTCATGGCTAAATGGTGTTTTCTGATAAGCAGTTCTTGAAGTGAATAGAAGCTATTGGTGTGTTATTGCTTGGACCTCACTTTTACTGAATTTAATCTATGACTAGCTTTATAGGTTTGCTGCTACTGTCATCTCCTTTGATCATGTTATTTCGTTTCTTCTTTCTGTAGAAGAACAAGTTAAACAAGTCTGTTCTTCACTGTAAATTGGGGAGCTGGCTCTCCTTGACTTCAGATGCCTTTGGGCGTCGTGTACCAATACAAATTGCCCACAGAATTTTCCTTTATCTCAAGTGTGCTCTGTAGCCGGTTGAGCTCCCACACTCTAACTCAAGCTCTTCAATGTTTGTACAGAGTAGCAGATGAAAGCTGCAACTCACTGGAAAATGACATTCTTCAGATAACTCTTGTTATTAGATTGAATCCTTTCTTCCCTCTTCCTATATCTTTAGAATCATTTAGAATTGTTAGGTTCTCTGCTAACCTTATATGAAGCAGATATCACATATGTGTATACATTCAGCTCTTCAATAATTTAACAATTCAGAAAAGGTTTCGGCTGCTAAATTGTTGTAGAACTATATATAGCACATAGAGAATACTATTTGGTTACTATAAAGAAAATACACATATTGTTTTTATAACAATGTGAATTCCTCAAAGAGATAATAAAAATCTGCTACTTGAGTTCAAAAATGTGTAACTCCATTGTTCTTTCAGTGAAAATTTGTGGGTTTTTTAGATACTTGTTTTAAGTGCCTGGGTATCTTACAACGTTATATTGTTATATCAGTCAAAAGACAGCACATTATGTCCCAGTGTAGGTGGAGAGTAACTGAGTGATATTCGAAGACATAATGTTAGTTTATGAGAATCTGTTGTTGCTAGAAGAGGCTTGCATAAAGAACTGTGCAGAACATGCAGTATTTGAAGTAAAACCATAAAAAAAACCCCAGTAGTAGCAGTGATTTTAAAATCTTAAGGATAGAAACTGCAGTGTTAAGTATCCTCTAAAACAGAAAGGATTGCGCATTGGTGGATATCTAATAATCATACTGAACAACTGCTGGAGTAAAAATACAAGACACAGTGAAACCATGCTTAGGCTGCTGAAGTCAAGACAGAAATCTCATGACTGACCTCATTATCTAGAGTAAGTGCTGTGGTACAAGAAGCTTCCACTGAATTCTGTTCAAAAGTGAAGATTATCTGCTGAACGGTAGCAGCTGACAAAGAATTATTT